CCCCAAAACCCCAAAACCCCAAAACCCCTTTATTAAGAGTTTTTATTGAAAAATGTTAATTGAGAGTGATCAGAATAATGTATTACAAGAGAAATCACTGAATGAGGACAAGCCTCAAAAAGTTACTGAAGAAGACCTCGTCAAGAAATTGACCATAAATGGAATTCAGAAGATTGTTAGAGACCATGAAGAGAAATTAGAGACTTCTTCAGAAGGAATCGTGTGCCAGGTCATTCAAATAAAATCATTTGAAGCTGGAGAGAACAAGAATATGAGGACTAGGCTTCATATATCTGATGGAAGCTCCTACCTTATTGCCTTTGTAAAAAGGAATATCAGTGAACAGATGGTAAGGACTTTTATATAATATTTTAGCCCATCTTTAACGAATTTTCGATCATACAACTCCAAGGTCATGTCATGAGCAAGCTTAAAGAGAGATTTGTAGTTGTCCTCACTGCTCCTCCTAAGGTTCTATACGAAAAATGCCATCTTAGGATTGGTGCTCCAATGCAATATGAGCTACGAAGGAAGAGGAGCCTGCTAGATAATGATTTTATTCCGATCATACCCTATCAAGCGATTAAATCTCATATGGATCATCTTAAAACGAATGGAGAGTTAATTACTCCTGCCGAAACATGAGTGATGAATAAAGAAAATATCAGCTCTGTATCTAGCTCAGAAGTATCACTCAAGCACTCTAATGATGAATATTACACTCCCATAAAGTGACTGACAACTTTCACTTATGACTGGAAGATCAAGGCTAGAATCCTAAAGAAATCAGACATCCGGAGATGGAGGAAGCCTCAATCAGCCGGCCAGTTGATGAATATTGAGTTGATCGATGCAGAAGGGACTCAGATTCTTGCAACTTTCTTCAATGATGCTGTTGATCAATTCGACCACATGCTCCTTGAAAATCACGTGTATGTGTTTACATGTGGCACAGTGAAAATTGCCAATAAGAGATTCACAAGTATCAAGAATGACTTCTCACTGATATTTGACATAAGCTCTCAGATCCAAAGAGTTGAGGAGGATGAGAAGATCGGAAAGCAAGGGTTTCATTTCTTCAATATCCGCCAGATCGAACAAATGAGAGAAATCACAACAATAGACTTCATCGGGGTTGTCCATTATGTTGGCCCAATCACTTTGATAAATCTTAAGAACGGTACACAAAAAGAAAGGAGGAATATTCTTATGGCTGATGACACAGGACTGACACTTAACCTATGATTCTGGGGAGAACATGCAAATATGTCTGATTACCCAGATCATCCAGTTCTAGCCTTAAAATCTGTAAGAGTCAGTGATTATAGTGGTAGATCCCTCAATTCAGCTGAAGGATGAACAGTACTGATTAATCCTGACATGGAGAAAGCACAGAAGCTCAGGAAATGGTATGACTCACTTGAATCAAAAGATAACCTTAAATGTATAAGTTTTGATGCTTCTAAGATAGGCAAAGAGAACGCAAGGAACAATGAAAGAGTAAGTATAACAGCCTTATGAATAGCTTTTGGGTGAGATCCCTCAATATCTATACCTCCAGTTCTTAAGAGATGATGAAAAACCTGTCTTCATCATGGCAAATGCCATCATTCATTACATCAAAAATGATGATAGGTCAATCTACCACGCTTGTCCAGAAGAGTTATGTAGAAGAAAGGTAACCTGGAAGGAAGACCTCCAAAGATGGAGATGTGAGAAATGAAATCAAGAGTATGAAAAAGCAATCCCTACTTTTGTCCTCACAGTCAAACTCTGTGACTTCTCTGGTGGACTCTATGTCCACTTTTACAGAGACCTTGGGCGAGCGATTATGGATATTGATCCTGAAGAACTTCTTAGACTGAAGCAAGATGGATTCGTCAAAGAATATAATGAAGTCTTTCAGAGGAATAGCTTTAAACATATCAAAGTTCTTATGAAAGTGAGAATGTACAAATGTGAAAATGGAGATTCAAAGATCAATTATCATGCTTCAAGAGTCCTTGACCACTCCTTTGCATCAGAAAACCAAAATTTACTATCCAAACTCGAGCTATATAAAGACAGGCCTGATATTCTTGGAGAGGAAGAGAAGTGTGAGGTGACACCAGCACCAGATGTGTCAAATCCCGATCAAGAGGTGGAACCAAAAGATGACCCTCAAGTGCTAAAATCTCAAATATCTTCAAGCTGTGAAGACCCTGCAGGTGGAATTCCCATCTACGATTTTGCTGTAGACTATGAAAGCTTTAAAAATCATGATTAATTTTTGTAATGTTAAAATATTCTTTAGTTTAACTCCATAAAACTCTGAGCAGCCGGGGTTTTGGGGTTTTGGGGTTTTGGGG